TTAGGGTTAGTGTTTAGGTTTAGTGGCTAGGGTTAGTGTTTAGGGTTAGTGTTTATGGTTAGTGTTAAGGGTTAGTGTTTAGGGGATGGTTTGGGATTGAGCTCTGTTTGTGTAAAACCTGCATGACATCCTTCTCCCTCCTTTTCTTCTGTGGCAGCGTTACTGCGCCACTCATTGGTGTGGAATAAGTATTACAACACCTTCTGGCTCCTCTGGGCTTTGTGCAGTTTCATCTTTATGCTCAAACTTTTCTTTGTGGATATAGTCTGTTGATGACTGGATAAAGCAAAAGAGGAAATGTCTGACGTTATTTTAAGAGGGAAATCCAAAAGCAATAGAACAAATTATGAAAAAATACACAAAGGAATTAAGAGATATAGTGAAACTCTCTTCTAATAATTATAAAAACACAGTGGTAGAGGCTATAAATTCTTGACTCAGTTTAATGGTTTAATTTTTTACCTTTGGCTCTTTGCTGCAGTTAATTCTGCTCTTTTTCTGTCTGGTTGCTGGTAATAAAAGTAGATTTCTATACAGCTGGTTATTTAGAGCAAATTCTGCTGTTTTTTTAGATGATTTATGTCAATATGTTCATAGTTTTAATGATATATTGTATATAGAATCAAGTTTGTTAAGATTCCTTTTTATCTGTTTTTCTGTTAGATCCACTTTGTCATTAAGTTTCTATTTATATATTCGTTTCCTGAATGTTTCTCATGTATTTTTGCTTTTACAAACGAGTACTGGTTTGAATGTGCTCTGCAAGCAAAGCTGATATATAGTCAGGTATCCATTAAAGAGTTATTATATAGTCAGGTATCCATTAAAGAGTTATTATTGAACATAATGGGAGATGTGTAAGGAAAATGTCTAGTTGTGAATTCAAACACTACAAACAAAGACATTATAGCTGTCATATTGGTCTCATTTAATTAATGTTTGCCATTTTGTTCCCAGGCTTAAAGAAAACATTGAAAAGCTCCAGAAAAGGTAAGTCTTTTCCTAAAATCCTTATTTAAGTAGTTTATCATCTATTATATTTACTTTGCATGCCATTTATTGTGATTTATTGCAAAGAGGAGCAGCATGTCAACTATAACCCGGGAGTTAAAACTGTTTAACTAACAAATTAACTAGACCATTAAAGAGACATGGTTTCATTATACCATCCTATCCAACATGTTGAGAAGAACTGTGTTCCTTTATGACAATGTTCTGGGTTTTGACAGACTTGTAAAGGAGGAGATAGGTAATGCTAAGAGTCAGGAGACTCTGAACAGCATCGGGCTGCAGACGCCCTCTGAGAAAGACCCAGCCGAGCAGCAGGAGGCAGCAGAAGAAGGTGAATAAAGTCCTGAGTTACAGTGTGCCTTCATGTTACATTAGGGAGTTCAGGTAGGAGACTAGAAATTATATTATATTATATAAGTCAAATATCTATAGACTTTTAAACAGCTCAAACATTTGTGAGCTGCCAGAACTGCCGTCTGTTTTATTCATCAGTCATTGTACAGCAACTGCAGTTTTATACAATCATTTATTCTAATTTAGATTTTAAAGGTTGACAGAGGGCCAGGATGAAAATGTGTTTAATGGCATTTTGGACTTTAATGCATTTAAATTGTAATCACAAACAGCACTGTCTGCAATGTCTTTCTCCCAGAAACCGTGCCAAGCAGCCGTGCGGAGAAGTGGGTCATGATAGTGGACCGGGCCAGCCTGCTCATCATCCAGGCGGTTTCTGGACTCCGTCGGCTCCAGGAGCTGAGCTGGAGACTCATGGAGCTCCACAGCCTTAAAATCGTGTCTTCTGGCATCATCTGGGTGTCTCTTCAAGAGGTAGGACTTATGTGCATANGGTGTCTCTTCAAGATTTAGGACTTATGTGCATACATATATATATATATATATATATATATATATATATATATATACTTATGTATATATATATATATATATATACATTTTTATATAACAGCCCAACAAAATTAAAGCATGACTATATGGAAAATAAGTTTTTCTTTCACATCGAAAAAACCTAAAAACTGTTGCATAGATTTGTTTATTATTTGAACCATCTTTTGCTCTAGTTATAGCTTCAAGTCTGTCTTGATGTGCAGAAAGGATAGTTTTTTCTTCTCTTTGATGTGTAATGAATCAAGCTCAGTCAGGTTTGCATGGCACAAGTGTTTCATTCTCAATTTGATTTCATTTTGGACTCTGATTCGGTAACTTTTAAACACAATTTTGTGCCTAAATCATCCCATTCAGGGATCAATGTTTTGGTGTTTTTTTGTAGAATTTAACAGGTCTACTTCCACCCAACATCTATTCTTATCAACTCTGATCTTGGTTACTGTATCTGAAGGAAAGTATTCCCATAGAATAACACTTCTACCTTCATATTTCACTTTGGGGATGGTCTACTCAGTTTTTTTCCCTTTTTTTGCTTTACATTGTCTTAATCTTTTACATTCAATCCCAGTATAATTTAAGTTTCCAGCTGCAATGTAAGGGAATGTGAAAATGGGCAGGGGGCTTAAATACACTTGAACATGGGATATATATTGTGTTAATACTTCACAGACAACAACTACAAAAAGATTTCCTTAATGTCATTTTTATAGGTTTCACTGATGAACTTCCTGTTTCTGGTCTTGTGGGTGTTTGCGCTTCCTTTCCCTCGAATACGTCCTTTAGCCTCCAGCATCTCTGCGGTGTGGGCCTGCGTCATGGTGGTCTGCAAGATGTTTTACCAGCTTAAAGTGATCAAACCTCTGGATTATTCCTCCAACTGCACCTCTGTAAGTTCAAACTTACAGGGCTTACAAGCAAAAATAAAGCAGAAAAATCTAAATAAAGGAACCTCTGAAAGGAATCTTAAATATCAAAAGTTGTTTCTAAACATCACAACAGTTTTATTGTATGAAAGATAGGTTCAATCTTTAAACAACTTATTAGGCCTGTTTTTCACTATTTGACTGAAGTTTAGGATACAGTCTGCTGAAAACGGAGATGATAGTTTCCTCAGGTTGTGTGTCAGATCTCTGCTCTTTTGTAACGCTTTTTTCCCTTAATATCAGACACTATTTTATGTGTTTCAGATTGTTTTTCCATCTTACTCTGGTCTACTTTTAGGCACAAAACATTAACCATTAATAAATCACATAACACTTCATTACTCATCAACATTTAATGCGAATTTTTAATATGTTTGTTTAATAAAGTATAAATAATAAATAAATATAATCATTTAGACAGCCCAGAGATTTATTGATTCAGGATTTTCTTTTCCAGCTTCTGGATTTAGGTACGGGCAAAACTTTTGCACAGTACTGTATGAATCCGTGAACTCATATTGTCATGTTTTTTTTACACATTTTTTTGTTGTTGATGAACCTGCTTGCTGCATTGTGATCAATGCAAGCAGGATTTTGGAAAAGAGGACACAGCATGACAAGTTTTAGATGTAGCAAAAATATTTGCTTTAAAAACACAAACAGCTGGTAGAGGTGAACCTCTTCCAGTCTCCCCTGGTGCATCTTTAAATTACCCTCAAAAATAAACTTTTGGTCACAATGTTTTTTACCACCTTCCTTCTCAAAGCTGATCTTGGTCTTTTAGGGTTTACTGGTCTCCAACAGTTCTGGGCTGTATGATGAAGCAGATTTGAGGGCAAACCTGGTGGAGCTGCTTAAAAGGTCCATTCTCTACACTGAACCTGTTGACCCGGTCTACTGGTGTGGAGCTCTTCGGAAGTGTGAGGGGAGAATCCTCCCCTGTTTGAGGGTAAAAGGAAACCTATATTCTCGTCTTGCGCATTTCTCTAACCTGTGTTTTACCTTATCTATAAAGTTATACATTATTAGTATGGGTTTTGTATTTAAAAAGAGATGGAACCAGAAAACATAAAGGTTATAAAGCTTACATTATCTAAAATGTATCTTTAAGGTTTCCCAGAAATTTCCTTTGATGGACGTAGATTTTTTCTTCTTTTTGTCCATGTTTCAGAACCATCTGATGGTGCTCGGATTGCTTGTATTTGAAGCAACTGTTGAACGCCACCAGCTCTACTTTCGCCTCCGTAACGACCTGAAGCCTCCTCCATTTACCATCATCTTCCAGTTCATCACCAGGCAGCACCTAGATCACGGCGTCCTGCCCTGCATCAAATACTTCATCAACTTTGGCTTCTACAAATTTGGACTTGAGGTGCTGCTTGTGATTTTCTAGTATAACCATGGATTATTATTATTTATTGATCTGAAGCCATCTGACTTCTTGATTGTGCTCATACTTATTTTTAGATCAGTTTGATTGTGGCAGTAAATGTCATCGGTCAGAGGATGGATTTCTACGCTTTGCTCCATTCCTGTGCTTTGATAGCCGTTGTGTCTCGCCGCCGCAGGAAGGCTATAGGAGAGGTTTGGCCCAAATACTGCTGCTTTACAGCTGGACTCATGGTGTTTCAGTATCTCCTCTGTATCGGCATCCCTCCTGCTTTCTGTGTTGGTATGAAAATATGGCTTGAATAATTTGTCATTTTTTTCTATCCAGCTTACAAAATGAGATACATGGTAGAAAACAGAAGCATGTTTGTTGTAGTTTTATTGGAAACAACATACTGTACATATAAAACTATTAATATATTCTGCTTAATTTAAAGACAATATTCAAAAATTTATGTTAGTACCTTAATCATTTAGGTAGAAATGCCAGATTCAGCCTTACAGGCTGATTTACTCTCTCTTTCTTTCTTTCTTTGCAGACTAAAACAAGATGAAGTAATAATTTATCAAGATAGATAATATGTTAACTTATAAACATTATAAGTTAAGTTATTGTATCAATACTATTTAAAAAGCTTCCTCATTTTCATTTATGTTCTAATCAGTTCCAGTTTATGTCCAGGCTTGTTGTGCATTGTATTTTTTCTCCATAGTTACTCTGTCATTTATGTATTTGATAATATCTAAACTGGGAGTCCAATATCACATATTTCTGTATGCCTGACACTCATTCCTCTCTCACTATAGCATCCGAGTTTAGCTCTTTGAGTAGACTTTAAAAAGATCAGAGAGTTGTATTGTTATTTTCACACATGAATTGTATATCAATAGGCCTATAAAGTAACATAAGGTGGAAGAGTTTAGGTTTAAAAGACACTGAAATATGAACTAAAATATAAAGGACCCAGTGTTAGACCCTGAGGAACACCAACATTATGTTCAAAGTATTAAGGAAACCTAGCATCTATCTGTACACGTCTTTCACTCAGATATAAGTGAGGGAGTTGCATGAGTTAGAAAACGTAACATGGATGATATGTTTTGCATTGATCTCTGCTGCTAAATGTCCTCAGATTACCCCTGGAGAACCGCAACTCAGCCTTTAAGCTCCAACGTCATAAAATGGTTCTACCTGCCAGACTTTGCAATGAGACCCAATCCATCCTTCATTTTCTGTAAATATTTCGACGCTTCCCCTTTCTTTGTTTTCCCTCTGTTTTCATATCACTTCTTTTGACCTCCATCTCTGTCCCTGTCCGTGCAGACGACCACCTCCTGCTGCTATGCTCCTCTCTGCAGTGGCAGGTTTTTTTGGAGGAGAACAGAGCAGCTGTACGACTTCTGGCTGGAGATAACGTAGAGATCAGTCGTAGTTTGGATCCGTGTTCCTTCAACCAGTTCATACCGGTTGATAACTTCCTTCACTGCAGGTTGGGATCATTATTTTTCTGCTTTGTGTGTATTCTTAATAACAAAGCCCCATCCTATTATAGTTATGTTACCTATGATCTAAAAAAAAAAAAAACGCAAATATTTTTATTATGTGTGTTTTGCTTTAACATTAAAAAAGTTAGGGGACATTTTTACAATTTGTTGAAGGGAGTTTTTCCTCTCCACGGTCGCTACAACCATGCTTAGTGTGCAAGTCTGCCTATATAAATAAACTGAATTGAATTGATCACTGTGATGTTAAGAGCTAAACCTCAAGATGCCTTAGAGGTTTATATTTGCGAACCCTTGGCGGTAGGAACTGTCGCTTGTTCACCATCTTTCTCTGCTCTGTGCTTAACAAATTCTGTCCAAATGGACACTATGCCGAGGGTCATGGGAACTAAATGATGTGGACCTTGTGGACAGGTCATACATTAATCAAACTTTAGCGTTGTAGAATTGTCTACATTTTCTCTGCATTTTTTTTGTTGTTGACAGTTTCTGCAAAATTGTTGCAACTATCTTTTTGGCGCCCTGCTTACCGGGATGTTTAATGATATTACTGCATCTGATTTTGAATCTCTTTGGGTTATAAAAGCGGCTCCTCTATATTTCCATATGATTTGGAGTGAGTCTAGATACATACACAGAGTTTACTCTAATCTATTATATCTAATCATATATCCTATAACCTAAAACTAATACCAACTTACCACTCAGTAATTGGTCAAATCCTTAGGATCCTTTCTTTTGATGAAATCAGTGCTGAGAAATCCTCTGCTTTATTTGATTGTTTAATTGCAAAACTGGTCTTTAAGGCACATTTTTCAAATACAGCAGTTGGAACTAAGGCTGAGGAAAATGGAGAGCTGTATTTGAAGTAACGCCTCATAACCCTGAAAATATAAAGTTATTATCTCCTGTAGTTCCTTTTGTTTCCGTTTGTGTTTTTATTTGCTCTGAGTAATTGTCAAAGGTTTGATGATTTCAGCTTCTATTGTATCAAATAGACTGTAAACACTGATTTTCATGCTTATATACTTATATAAGACTATGGTAGACTATTAAGTATTGCATGGTTTAGTTATTTGTTTTAGTATTTTTTTCAATATCCCATTTGGTTAAAAAAAAAATCCTAAATTCTAACTAGTGCATCTAAACAGATTCATGCTGATACCGGTATATACTTTTTCATTTTTTTTTAAAGTTTTAACAATTTGATAATTAAAATAATGTATCTTACCTGTAGGTAGATTTCAAGTATACACATGAGCAGCAAATAAGTTCAGCTCCATTTAAAGGATTTGGGTCATTTCTAGAGGAAAAGTTCAAAAAATTACAAATAAAAGCTATCGAGATATGTCAATTCAACGCTTTCATTTCTCAAAGTTGTTTTTGTTGTGTTTTTTGTTAATTTTCTATTTTCTTTTCTTTGGTTTCTGTTGGAAATAAAATAATCAGATAAATCAGGGTTAGCTAAACCTTTTTGACATTTGGGGTCATCTTGGGGTATTTATTCCCTAATGTTGACAGACCAGTGCTTTTCTAAAGGAAAACCTGTCTTTCTGTTTTGCCTTTAGGTCCTACCTGGACATGGTGAAGGTGTTTGTTTTCAGCTACTTTTTCTGGCTGGTCCTCTGCCTCATCTTCATCACAGGCACCACACGGATCAACATCTTCTGCCTGGGCTACCTTGTGGCCTGTTTCTACTTCATGCTGTTTGGTGGCAGCGTCCTAATGCAGCCAGTTAGATACATCCTTCGCCTGTGGGACTGGCTCATTGCCTACACCTGCTTTGTGATCGCCATGAAAAACTTCCTGTCTGTAGGTAGAAAAGTAGTACAAGATGGAAAATACATCACAATTTAAGGGGCTTCTATATGCAAAAACATAATGTCTTTGAATAATGTCACATGACCTGTGTCTTTGTTTTCTGCAGCTTGGTGCTTGTGCATATCTGGACAGCCTGTTGAAGAACAGCTGCTGGTTAATTCAGGCATTCAGCATGTTTTGCACCATCAAAGGCTATGATGTTCGTAAGTGTCTGCCGTGTTTTACCTGTTGCCTTTTGTTGCAGCATCTGAAGACATATTCATACCCGTCTACTTTTTCGCGGTTGTATTTGATCAAATTTTAGGAAGTTAGTACAACCATACCATACCAACTTTATTTATGAAGCACTTTAGACACTGACAGGACCAAAGTGCTGTACACAATCATAAAATACAATGCAATTATAAAATAGAAAACATCAAATATAAAATACATATTAATATACAGACACAATAAAACAAAGTGAAACCTCTCAGACTGTGCCAAAAGCCAAAGAAAAAAGATGGGTGTTAAGAAGAGACTTAAAAACAGTAAGTGAAGAGGCATGTCTAATGCCCAAAGGAGGATCATTCCATAGCTTGGGAGCTGCCACAAAAAAGGCACAGTCCCCTATGAGCTTGCACTTTGTCCTTGGCACCTTCAGAAGCATCTGATCAGCCGACCTGAGGGAACGGGAGGGTGTGTGTAAGAATGTAACATCTCAGGCCAATAGGGAGGGGCAAGGTCATTAAGAACTTTAAAAACAAATGAAATGATTTTAAAAAAGGGGAAATGTGGTCAAATTTGCATGAACCTGTTAAAAGATGTGCAGCAGCATTTTGTACCCTCTGAAGCTGGGAAATATTTAATTCATTGACTCATATAATGTGCATCACAGTAATCCAGCCATGTAGTCACAAAGGCATGCATCACTGTATCAAAATGCTGTCTTGAAAGAATAGGTTTTACTATTCTAGCTACCTTAAGTGGAAAAAGTTGGATTTTACAACGGCTCTAATGTCTCCAGCTTAAGACCAGCATCCATCTTGACCCCTAAATTTGTAACAGCCGGCTTTGACATACTGGGCCAAAGAGCCATGATTGGTCTGTGGATCTGCCAAATAATCATTACCTCTGTTTTATCTTCATTAAGTCAAATCTTCCAGACATAAAGACAGAGACTGAAGAGAGATGGATTCTTTGTTCTTTAGTGGTAAACATAAAAAGCTATGTTATTGCAAACTGGAAGGACATTATGAACTTGTTAAAGATTTGTTTTACAAATTGAAATCTAAAAGTGTGATAAACATTTCCCTGGATGTTTAGAGACAGTGTCAAGTCTTTTACAGCCACCATAAAAGTTTTCTCCAAGTATTTTCTTATGTATATAGAAAGATGTGAATTGTGCAGGGGCGGAGCTAAAGGGGTGGCCAGGACTCCTAGCCTATCATTACAAGGTCATTTGTTGCGCCCATGTGGACATAAACCACTGGAACATGTAGTGCCCCTCTAAACCAGAAGGTGGCAGCAGT